TCGCGCAGCTGGTCGTAGTGCGACCTTGCGATCGTGTTTGGGTGATGGGTTCAGTCGGGCATCATCCTTGGGCCACGAAGTTCGCGTTGGGCTTATGGTGGAGCCCTGTTGGGATCATCTTCGGACCATCGTCGGGCCACTATGGATTGCAATTTTTCCATGGGGGCATCCTGACCTCGCATGGACGCCCTCGTCCTGGGGCCACCCCTGGGCCCCAGAACCGCGGCGTCATCCGAAGATCGCCTGGGGGTATCGTGTCGGTCGGGCCGCGACGAACCCCCTGCTCGCAAATCCTACGTCGCGGGGGGGTGGGGGGAGGGAAAGATTGCAAAAAATCGAAGGATTGCAATCCAACGAAGGATTGCAAAACAACCGAAGGATTGCAAAAAAACGAAGGATTGCAAAAAACGAAAAATTACAAAAAAAAAAAAAACAATCAAAAAAAATGCGGCGTGGAATTGCGCGGCAGCGGCGCGATGGCCGCCTGGCGGCGCGGGGTCGGCGCGCCGGCGCACTGACTCCCCGGTGGCAGAGAAGAGGATGGGATGGCTGCGGGGCGCGGGCCTGCGGGCAGCGCCTGGATCGCTTCGCGGTTCGGGATAGCACGTAAAGGAGGGAGGCAGCGAGAGGACGAGGGAGAGGAGGTGGATCAGGAGGTGCAGGGGCGGAGGCGCAACAACGAGGGGAAAGGGGCGAGACCGAAAACAACGAGGAGGGCGATGAGGAAACGGAGAGGTGGCTATGCGGGGGGCGGAGCACGAGGCGAGGATTGAGGAATTCATCTAGGCTGACGATTTGGAGGAGATGGCTGGGTGTTGCTAATCCTTGAAGTACCCCAAGATGGCACACTTACCAAAGAAAGCACATCGGCCCTCGATCCCCGGGCGTCGGGGCGCCGTCGCTGCCTCTGTGGCTGCCCCGCTGTGGCGGTTGTAGCTGTTTGTTGTTAATTGGGGTTGCCTCTGCTGCGTGGCATTATGTTGGCATCGCGCAGTGATGATTGACTCGTGGCTAAGTCTGCCGATGCGCCCATTTTGGGGAAAGTAAACGTGCGAGGGGAATGCACATTTCGCCATGTGCCATGGGGTCGCACTGACGATATTACGTCTTGGGAACAGCTGGAATCCAGCGCGGGAATATTTGGACGTCTTTTGGAAGTGATGCATCGGAGACCGAGGATCACACATTGGTTGCCGTTGATCGAGTACGTACTCTTGGGATTGATTGAACCATTTGCAATCGTTTGCGTTGTTTCGGTCTTTTGGTCAGACCACTTTTCGGGTGAATATTATGGGCAAATCGGTTCGGTGTCACATAGGGAAATGTCGCACGCATCTTGGAGACATGGGGCCGTGTTGGGGTCGTGTTATGTTTGGGTCGTTGGGCAGCGAGGTCATCTTGGAATCAGGGGCCCGGGGCCTCGTGCATTTGCGGGGCGAACGGCGCGCAGCAAGGAGATTGGCCGGCATCCCCTGAAGCGCGGGCGACGGGCGCTGCTCGCCGACGCTCCAAGACGGCGCAGAATGCCACCAAGAGCACCACGATACATCGTCAGAGGCCCGCGAGAGGGCGCCGATGCGGCCCAAGACAACCCGCAACATGCTTCCGAGACGGGCCAGCAGGGCCCCAAACGGACCCCAAGAGGGCCCCGGGAAGGGAACGCGAACTGACGCTTCTGACTCTCCGCCCCCCAAAGAGCCCCACGGAGCTCCGAAGGATGCCCTGAGAGGCCCCCAGGGACCCCCCAGGGGGAGCCCCCAGGATGCCTGCGAGAGATCCCCAGGAAGGGGGCTTCAGCGCTGCCCCCGCAAAATTCCAAAAGCCACCCGAAGGGGCCCGAGACACATCCACGGCGCAGTGGCGGGATAGGCCAGAAGCTACCAGAAAGGGCGACGAGGACTCGAAAGCTGGCACGGGGGAAGAGGAGCGCGCGGCGGAGGAACGGGCTGCGGAGGCCGAGGAGTTGCCGGCGGCAAATTCTGCCCCCGCCCCGAGGGCCCAACGGTTCCTGGAGATCCCCGCGGGACCCCTGGATGCCAAAAGGGCCGCCCCAAAACATCCGAACCCCATCCCCCCCGACCCTCGAGGGCCAGCGGCGAAACTTGCCAGCTGGCAGCTGGTGATGCTGCCTCCGCTGCCTGGTGCCGTCGCCGCTGCTGCTGCTGCCCTCATTGCACCAACTCCGACAACTCGATCTTTCAAATCCCTGGCCTCACGGAGCTTTTGACCCCTTCCGCAACGCAGGCGCGTCGTCCTGGGTAAGGTCGCGACGGGCCCAGACGTGAGAATGGTCGCTTCGGTCTTCCCACCGTTGCATCCCAAACAATCATGCAATCTTTTGCGTTGATAGTTTGTCGTCGGCGGCTTTGTCGCTTTCGTTCCCCAGGGGCTGTTTCCCCGCCCACGGGGCAATCAAAAACGGACCAGATGTGACAAACTGCGTCGGATGGACGCTAGGCGCACATCCGAAAAGTGCAGTCCGGTCCACTGCACATCCGAAGCGTTCGGGAACTTCCATCGAAAACAAAACCTGCGCGGGAATAATCTAGACCCACCATGGCGCGGCTAGCATCGCGCGGTCAGCCGGCGCGCCATGCGGAAACACTAGCCGTTGATAAGTGAAAAGACAGGTCCAGTATAAGAGCGGGCACTCTCGGATGCACGCGCCATTGCCCCCGGTCGGCGAGCCAAGAAACACGGGCGAACGGGGGGGCGAGTTTGGAGGACGGGCAGGGGAAGGAGGAGGAGGACCATTAGGGAAGGAGACGGGAAGGAAACCGGGGCACCACCATCTGGCAAACAAAGACGGGAAAGCCGATTGCGACGGCAAGGGGATCAGGACACCGCCACCTGGCAGACCAGAACAATACATGCGGGCACCACCTGGCAGCCCAACGCAACATCAGAGAATTTGGAGGAGGTGCTCATAGACTTTAGGAGGAGAGGAGCAAGGAGATGAGGGGTTATTCGTGACGACGTCTCGAATGCGACCACCGAGTTGGAACGTTATTCCGACGGAAGGGCCCCGCATGACCATCTGGTTGTGTTTCCTTCTCTTTGTCGAGCTTGCTCCAAAACAGCGGTATTACATTTGATACATACCGTATTACCTAAAATACATGCACCAACTACGTTTCCTGACTCGTCCTCATCGGTTCCGCCTGCCTCCAGCTGCTCCTCCTCCTCCTCTTCATGCACCTCCTCCTCCTCATGCTTTTTCTCCTCCTCTTTATTATTTTCCTCCTGCTCTTGCTTCCCTCCTCCTGCTCCTCTCTCCTTCTCCACTTGGTCTTCCTCGTCCTCCTCTTCCTCCTTCTCCTCCTCCTCCTCCCCTCCTCCTCCTGCTGCTCCCACTGCTGCTCCTCCTGATCCTGCTCCTCCGCCTGCTCTTCCTGCGTTTGTCGTCTCCATCTGCCTCTTCCTGCTCCTGCTCGTGTTCCTGATCCTCCTGCTGCTCCTCCTCCTCTACCTCCTCTTCCTACCCCTTCTCCCCGTGCCATTGCGCTTCCTCCTCCTCCTCCTCCTGCTTCTCCTCCTCCTCTACTTATTGCTCGTCCTCCTCCTCCTCCTCCACCTGCCCCTCCCGTTCCTCCTCCTCCTCCTCCTGCTCCTCCTCCTCCTCCTCCTCCTACACCTCCTGCTCCTCCTCATCCTCCTCATTTTCTCCTCCTGCTCATGCTCTTCCAGTCGGTGGATGAGGCAACCGCCCGAGGCTTCCTCAAATTTCACTCAGTAATGAATCTCCCCCTTTGGACTTCCTCCAACTTCATTCAAATATGAAGCTCTCGCTTGAGACTTCCTTCCAGTTCAAGCCTGAGAGGCACAAGCGTGTCGACTGTTGTATGTTTCGGCAGGTTCTCTGCCATTCCTCCAGGAGATGCGGCTGCCTGCGGGAGGGGGCTCCCGCCTGAGACTTCCTCCAATGGCATTCAGGAATGAGGCCCTCGCTTGAGACGCCCTTCAACTTCAAAGCTGAAGTGCCTAAAAATGATGACAGTTGTATGGTTCGAGTGGTTCTCTGAAATTGCTCAAGGAGCTGCGGCTCCCTGAGGGAGGGGGCTCCTGCCTAAGATTTCTTTGAATTTCATTCAGAAATGAGGCTCTCGCTTAAAACTTTCTCCATGTTCAAAGCCGAGAGGCTCAACAGTGATGACAGCTCACTGATTCGAATGATTCTCTGAAAGTCCCCCAGGTGCAACGGCGCCCTTAGGGAGGGGGCTCCCGCCTGAGACTGCCCACATCTGTTCTGAGAAATGGCGCTCCCGCTTGATTTTGCTGCAATTTCAAAACCGAGAGGCCCAAACACGACGACAGTTTGATTGTTCAAATGATTGTTTGAAATTCCTACAGGACCTGCGGCTCCTTTAGGGAGGGGGCTCCCGCCTGAGACTTCCTCGCTTTCATCCAGGAGAGCCGATCCCGCTTAAGATGTCATGCAAATTCAAGGCTGAGAGGCCCAAACACGACGACAGTTGTATGTTTCGACGGATTCCCCCCAATTCCTCTAGGAGTTGTGGTTCACCTGGGAAGGGAGCTCCCGCCTGAAACTTCCTACAAGTTCATTCAGAATTTGTGCTCCCGCTGAAAAGCTTCCTGCCAGTTCAAAGCTGAAAGCCCTAATAATGACGACACTTTTATGATTTATATGATTTCCCAGCATTCCCACAGGAGTTGCGGCTCCCTTGGGAGGGGGGCTTCCGCCTCCGCCTGAAACTTCCTTTATTTTCACTTAGTGTCCGCCTCCCCTCTTCCTCCACTTCCTCCTCCTAGACATGCGCCTCCCGACTCGAATTCGCTCCAAAACCTGGCCGCGGACCACTCCCAGGGCGCATTCTGGTGTTGCGAGCCGCGTCCTGCCATGGCCACCACGCGCCTCCCCGGGGTGGGGGGGGTGGGCACCCGAAACCGAGACGACGCCGAGTCCCGCTGCTCCCGGGGGTCCTTTGCTGCCCGCGTCCTCCTCACGCAGAACGCGGCGACCGCGAAGAAGCCGAAGCAGGTCATGCTGGCGACAACGACCGCGACGAACCCGAGGCGGTCCGAGAAGGACCCACTGCCAGCGGCCTCTGCTTCCGCGGCGTCACGGGGGCTGCCCGACCAGGGCGGGTCAGAACCCTCCTCTGGCGGCGGCGCGGAGGCGGCAGGGGGATTGTGATTGGTGCTCCTGGGTTCCAAGCGAAGTAACATGCGACTACTCAGGGTTTCATAATGAAGGGGGGGGGTCACTTTGGTCGGGGGGGATCTGATCTGAATTGTCTTGGAGGGCTCCAGTGGGGTCTGGGCAGAAGGCCGCTTTGTGGCTGACCTGGGGGGGCCTAAAACTGCTCGTCTGGGACGGTGTGACCCCCTTCCTGTTATGACGGAATCTGGGGTACCATCTCCTCCTCCTCCTCCTCTTCCTTCTCCTCCTCCTCCTCCTCCTCCTCCTCCTCCTCCTCCTCCTCCCCCTGCTCCTCCTCCTCCTCCTCCCCCTGCTCCTCCTCCTCCTCCTCCTCCTCCTCTTCCTCCTCCCCCTCCTCCTCCTCCTCCCCCTCCTTCTCCTCCTCCTTCTTCTGTTTCTCCTCCTCCTCCTTCTCCTCCTTACTCCCCCTCAAAACCCCGCAAGTGCAGATCAGGGTGAAGGAGCGGGCGCGGGCTGTGTCGCGGGTAGGTCGTGGGGTGGGTCGCGGGGTGGGTCGCGGGTTGGGCCGCGGGATGGGTCGCGGACGGGTCTCAGGCGACGACAGCAACAACAGCAACGACGACAACAGCAACAACACCAGCAGCACCAGCAACAACAACAATCAATTTAAGACTGTTCGCCCCTATCTGCTCACGTGCCAATCGATTACGTATATCCCAAACCCGTGGTACCCGTCCTCGACAACAACAACAACAATAACAACAAACACCAGCAGCAACAACACCGACACCAACAACACCAACACCAACACCCACACAAACGCCACCACCACCAACAACAACATCATCAACAACAATACCATACTTAACCAACACCAACATCAACATCAACATCAACATCAACATCAACAACAACAACAACAACAACAACAACAATCATTTTACCCGAACGCGTGGTGTTCTCCCCAGTGCCAGGGTTTTCATACGACACCAGGCAATACCCCCACTTCGTGGGGGGGCATTACAAGCTCTACCAAATATCCAAACGACTCTTCGCGACCACCCAAACCCAGCTTCCCGCCCTATGACGTTGGGACACTTCACTTCGTGGCGTGCGGACGACCGTGGCTACTACACTGGCGTGGGGTACACACCCACAGAACCCAATGGTTTTTGGAGATTTCGGCGTGCGCGCGCGAAGAAAAAACGAATGTGTCCCGCATGGTATTATTTGACAGGGATGATGGCCCTGGCAGGTGCGCAACCGTTGTCGCAGAAGTTCGAAAAAGTTGCTCGCAAAAGCCCGTTTGACAGAAATGTTTAAAAAGTGTTGGGTTTCCTACGAATCCGCAAGAGCGCGCGGGATGAGATTTTGACATTTTTTTGTTGAAAAACCATTGGTTTTTTGATGTTTTTATGTTAAAATCGCTCCGAACACTAAGCTTTTGGAAGGATTTCGTCTTGCGCGCGCGAATGTCCACTTTACCTTATTTTTTGCAAGGGATTCTTGAAATTTGATTATATTAGAACAAGAAATGTCATTTTATAGTGTTTTTTGCAAGGGAAAACGGATTACAACAAAACAACCGGATCTGGATCACATCGTTTTACCTGAGGCTTCCTCACGAAAATGATGAAAACGTGGCTGCGGCCTAGGCGCGGCGGGGGGGGCGCGCACCAGGGGGCCCAACAATAATTATTCTTTAGAATTAATAATGTTCAACAACAACAACAAAATAACACCTTTCAACCCAGCCCTGTGACGGGGCCGGGTCCCTCGCTCGCACTCCACGGTGCACCAACCCTGAACCTGGCCCCGTGTCCAGTAAGTTGGCGCTCACTGAGTGAAAACCCCGTCGCGAGCCCGGGGGGGGGGGACAAGACGCGCGCACGCGCCGCGCACCAACCTTCTACCCGGCCCCGTGTGAGCTCACAGCGAGATCTGCGTTAAAGCTGTAGCCAGAGCTCCATTGTCGGGTTCCCCCCAGGGCCGGCGAGAAGGTCCTCCCTCCGCGAGGGAGATGTAGCAGCGGGAACTGTAGCGCGAGCTGTGCTGGGAGCTGTAGTGGAAGCTGTAGCACGAGCTGAGAAAAAAAAACTCGGACCGAGGCCAGAACAACATACTTCAAGAACATCGGCCCTCCGCCGGCCAAAAGGTAGAGCATTCGAGGGCCCCCCCCCAGGGTGCACAAGAGCATCCAACGAACATGCAGAACATGAAGGTACCCTCCCCGAGCAGACCTCGATCTCATGACCCAGTCCGACTGCAGTGGCAGCTGTAGTGGGACCTGTACTGGAGCTGTGCGGTGACCTGTAGTGGGAGCTGTGATGGGAGCTGTGCTGGGAGCTGTACAGGGACCTGTACTGTAAACTGTGCGGTGACCTGTAGTGGGAGCTGTAGTGGGCACTGCAGTGGGGGCTGTGCTGGGAGCTGTTGTTTCCATCGCGGGGATGGAAGCAACATTGCAGTTAGAAGTGAACAGATGAATACTTGGATAACGATCGAGACAAAACAACTTGCGGCGAGGAGGAGGAGACGGAGGAGGAGGTAGCAGGAGGTGGAAGATGATGATGATGATGATGAAGTGGAGGACGACAACGACGAAAACAAGGAAGCGGAGGATGAGCAGGTTGTTGGCTGGCGCGGTTGTAAGAAGGGCGTTGCCGCGGTTGCAAAGGTTGCTCCGAACATCAATAACAACAGCAACAACGGCAACACCCATTTTAAGACTGTTCGCCCGTATCTGCTGTCGTTCCCATCAATACGTATATCCCACCCCCTCGATACCCCCCCTCGTCGTCTTCGATCGTACCCCCTTCCTTACCTGCCACGTGCATGTAATGCAGCCCCTAAAACAAGTGAAGAGAAGACGGGTGGAAAGGGGAGGGAGACGAATGGAGCACGAGAGAAATTAGCAGGAGGGGGGCAAGGAGCAGACAACAAGTGGTAGAACCAGACGGGCAGATCGGGTGGGCAGACCCGTCGGGAAGGCGGGCCCAGGCGACCAGGTCGAGCAGGCGGGTTGCTGAAGCGCGGTTCCTGCATGAATCGCGAGGACGTCTCGAGCGGTGGCGCGATTCCCGAGTACGTCGTCAGAGAAGCCAAAGCGAGAGCGTGATTCCTGAGAGCCGAGGGCGCGCATCGTGTGCACAAATTGCGAGGGAGTCCCACGCGAGAGCTCGGTTCGTATACAAAATGTGAGGACATCCCGCGCGAGAGCGCGACTTGGGCAGACATTGTGAAGAAGTATCAAGCGGGAGCCGTTGCCTCTGTAGTTCGGGGGCCAGGGTCGCAGTTTGAGCCTAGTGACTTCCTCTGATCAACACCCGGGTGCGAGCCCCGGGGGAAGCACTTCAACTGAAAGCATACACTGGTCACCGGAGGGGGAGATCAACTATGCTTGTTCTTCGGCACTGGTCGCTCTCATCTGCCCGCGGGCCATTCAACACGTATGTCCCGAAGTCTTGATGCCCGACCTCTTCGTCTTCGATCGTGCCCACCTTGGGGTATATAACTCTCTTACCTGCAACGTGTATTTGTTGCAGCCCGTAAGGCAAGGGAACAGAGGACGGGTGAAAGGAAGGGACAGGGGGGAGGCAGGAGGATGAAACAATAAAGAGAGTAGCAGGAAGAAGAAAACACGTGGCAGAACCAGACGGGCACATCGGGTAGGTAGACCCTAACGGGTGGGTCGGGAAGGCAGGCCCAGTTGGCCAGGTTGTGCAGGCGGGTTGCTGAAGCGTGCGTCCTGCATGAATCGCGAGGAAGAATCGAACGATACCGCGATTCCCGTATAAATCGTGAGTGAATCCACAGCGAGGGCGTGATTCCTGAGTGTCGAGGGCGCGGCGTCTGAATAAGTGGTGCCATTATGTTACAGATTGTGAGGGGTCCTGGGCAAGAGCGCGATTTAGTAATACATTGTGAGGAAGTATCAAGCGGGAACCGCTGTTAAGGTAAACCGGTGGCCACGGGCCCAGTAAAAAGCAGGGTGCGAGCCCCAGGAAGAACACTTCAATTGAAACATACAATGGTTACCGGGCAGGGGGGATCAACAATACTTGTTCGTTAGAATAGAAATGAGAACTCAGCAACAACAATAACAACAAAAAACCGCAACCACAACAACAACAACAATTAAACAACAACACCAACAACAAGACCAACAAGAACAACACCACCAACACCGCCAACACCACTAACACCACCAACAACAGCAACAACAACCTCTACAACCATTGTAAGAATGCTCGCTCCTATCAGCCCGCGTGTCACCAAACATGTACATCCCAAACCTTCGATACCCTCGACTTCGTCTTCGATCGCATCCCTCTTGGGCAAACACCCTCCGCGCCTGCCAGGCGTGGTTGGCGCATCCCCTAAAACAAGGGGAGGGGGGAAGGAGGGATAGGACAAGGACAAAGGGGAAGAGAGAGGGATGGAGCACGAGAGAGACTAGCAAGAAGGGGGTTCGAATTAGGTCGGGCGTGTCCCCCCAACAGACGGATTGTGGACGAACAACTGAAAAATACTAAAACAACAGCCCCAAATAGCAAAACATACTAGAAACATAGTCTTCAAACTGTGTTTAATTTTTTTTGAAAATTCCTCTTGTAGAGGGACATGCCCGACGTAAGGTTAGAAACGGGAGAACAACACGCAAAACCAGACAGGCGGTTCGGGCGTGTGGACCCTGCCCGGCGGGCCGGGCGGATGGGTCCAGACGGCGGGGTCGATGGGCGGGTCCCTTTGAAGGGGCCGAGGGACACACAACTAAATAGACACAGATAGCATGATTTCCCAAATGTTCCCATCTTTTCTGGGTGTTCGTCTTCCCCCCCGACTTCCCATATCTTCCTATATCTTCCTGGGAGTCAACGATTAATTGTGTTTCTTTCCCTCCTGACCCTTACGCGCCAGTCCAGCATGAAACGCGAGGAGGTCTCGAGTGATAGATCGTTTCTGGAGAAGGAGAAGCAGTCCAGAGCGAGAGCGA